AATAAAAAAAAGAAGGTATTTATAGATGCCATCTACCACCACATGACTAATAGCAAAAATAAGGCTGAGATTTATTTGCATTTCCTTCTTTTAAAAATTTTAAAGGTAAGATAAATCACTTTTTAAACATTTTATTTATTTATCTTTAAATATTTATTTATTTATTTGAAGAGCAGAGTTACAGAGAGAGAGGGAGAGAGGGAGAGACAGAGAGATATCTTCCATCTGCTGGTTTACTCCCCAAATGGGTACAACTGTCAAGGTTGGGCCAGGCCAAACAAATCCAGGAGCCAAGGATTCCATCTGCATCTCTCACGTGGCTACAGGGGCTCAAACTCTTGGGCCATCCTCTGCTGCTTTTCCCAGGCACATGAGCAAAGAGCTAGATCAAAAGTGGAGTGGCCAGGACTCCAACCAATGCCCCTATGAGATGGTGCTGTTGCAGGTGGCAACTTAACCCACTACGCCAGAACACAGGCCTCTTCATTTTTGGAAAGAGAAAGAGAAAAAGAGAGACAAAGAGGTCTGGTTCATACCCAAATTTCAGCAGCAGCTGGGACTGGGCCAGGCCAAATCCAGGAGTCTGGAACTCAATGCAGGTCTCTCACATGGCTGGCAGAGACCCAACTACTTGAGCTGTCAACTGCTACCTCCAAGGGTCTGCATTAGTACAAAGCTGGAATTGTGAATGGAGCTGAGACTCAAACCTGCATACTTGAAGGAGATGTGGGTTTCTGAAGTGGTATCTTAACCACTAAAGCAGACGGTCCCCACCCTCCACCATGCATTGCCTTCTTATTTTGATATAAATACATTTGTATATTAACCAATAGTCTTCCTTCTTCCTCTCATTTCTCTTCTATTTGACATAAGTTTATAGCAGTTTGCCTTGTATCTTGGTGTTTGAGTGACAGGACATCAAAGGGAGAACGTGATGAAGCTAGAAGCAGCAGGAACACATGGAAAGATGGTTAGAGGAAATTTGTAGCCTCTTTTGGGGGGAGGATTAGGGTGGTTTTGGTTATACCAGGGATAGTGATATCATGTTATGTGAAACCTTGATTTTTGTGTCATTTTTTTGGTTGAGTTAAATGTAACTAAAAGAGGGATGCCAAGTTGATGAGGTGGTTTTGTTCTGTGCCAACTCCCCTAAGATGGAATTGAATTTTTTTAGATTTCCCTTCCCTGCTTCAAGCTGGTGTTGACCACAAGATTCATTTAGTGTGAATTTGGAAGCCAGCAGTGAAGCAGAAGCCGTATTTTTCACCCCCTGATGGTGAAGACATGGTACCAGGCAAGTGGGGGACATTTGTCCCTATTATTATTATTATTATTTTTGACAGGCAGAGTGGACAGTGAGAGAGAGAGAGACAGAGAGAAAGGTCTTCCTTTGCCATTGGTTCACCCTCCAATGGCCGCCGCGGCTGGTGCGCTGCGGCCAGCGCACCGCGCTGATCCGATGGCAGGAGCCAGGTGCTTCTCCTGGTCTCCCATGGGGTGCAGGGCCCAAGCACTTGGGCCATCCTCCACTGCACTCCCTGGCCACAACAGAGAGCTGGCCTGGAAGAGGGGCAACCGGGACAGAATCCGGCGCCCCGACCGGGACTAGAACCCGGTGTGCCGGCGCCGCAAGGCGGAGGATTAGCCTAGTGAGCCGTGGCGCCAGCCGTCCCTATTATTATTGATGTGGCAGCTCACTTTGTAGTTGGGGGGCTGCCATCAAGCCCATAGTTTCCCCAGTTCCCAGAGGGTCTCCTTCAACTTCCTGTGAATTGTGGACCAAGATACTACACAACTCTAGGTGAAGGGTATCAGCTTCTGCAGATTACCCATAGCACTGAAGTTGGAAGTAGTAAGAGAGACAGGGCTTCCTGTTCTCTATCAAATTTTCCTTTTCCTCATTGACATTTAGCTTTCTTCCCTTGGTTGATTTATGGCGACTTTAGGCTCAGCACTAGACCCAGAGGCAATGGCCTGTGTGGCTGGCCCCACTAGCTTCCATGATTCCTTAGAGTCTGTCTCACTCACAGTGGTTCTGCCTCTCTCATTGAACCATGTCCTAAAGACAGCTCAGGAGAGACATGATAGCAGTGTGGGGTTCTTGTCCCAAAGATCATGCAGCTTTCATGGGGAAACTACATTTATTTTTGGTATAAAAATCAACGAACTTTGTTGAAAAGAGTGTCTAGGATTCTCCTTCAGAGGCTATGTAGAAAGGTTTTCCATCTGCTGGTTCACTCCCCGAATACCCACAATAGCCAGGGCTAGCCCAGGTCTAAGTCAAGAGCCCAGAAAGCTGCTTCTGGGTCTCCCACGTAGGGGTCAGGGCCCAGGTGCTGACTCATCGCTTGCTGCCTCACATGATGTATTAGCAGGAAGCTCACTGCAAGTGGAGGGGCTAGGACTTGAAGCAGGTAGCGGCTTAACTCGCTGTGCCACAATACCTACCTGGTTGTTTTCTTCTTAAAGGAAAAATAATCTGTAGTTATTGAGGTAAACTTGACAGATACAGGTAATCATCAGAACACTAATAATATTTTGCTGAGTACCCTTCAAGTCTTTCTTCAGTCCACATGAGGGAGCTTCAAAACATTTTTGGAAAATGTGTGTAATAAAAGTGTGTGATCACTTTCCATGAACTTTGAATTATTCATGCATCTATATCTATGTACACATATACTGTATTTTTATAAAAATGGAATCACATTTGTTTTATAAAACAGCATCCCCCAGAATATTTCATGAATATTTGTGTCTAAATGATTAAACAGTGTCCAATTCAACAACATAATTTTAATTATATCACAGTATTCCATTGCACAGCTATGCCATAATTTATTTAACCCGGATCTCTTATTGTTAGATGTTCAGGCTATTTTCAGTTTTTCCTAATTAATTGAAAAAAAAACAACAACTCTGAAATGAATTTTTTAATGAGTTTCCTCAGTTTTTTTTTTTTTTTTTAAGATTTATTTTATTTATTTGAAAGAGTTACAGAAAGAGGTAGAGACAGAGAGGTCTTCCAACTCCTGGTTCACTCCCCCAAATAGCTGCAGTAGCTGGGCCAATCTGAAGCCAGGAGCCAGGAGCTTCTCTGGGTCTCCCACTTGGGTGCAGAGGCCTAGGGACTTGGGTCATCCTCCGATGCTTTCCCAGGCATATTAGCAGGGAGCTGGATTGTACTTATTTCAAAATGAGACAGACACACACACACACACACACACACACGAGGGAGGGAGGGTGAGAATTTTCTGTCTTCTGTTTCACTTCCCAAATGCCCACAATTAGCCAGGGCTGGGCTAGACTGAAACCAGGAGCCCGGAACTCCATCCTGGTTTCCCACATGAGTGGCAAGAACTGAAGTGTATGAATCATTATCTGCTGCTCCTCAGGCACCATTAGCAGGGAGTTGGATCGGAAGCAAAGTAGGTGGGACTTAAACCCAGGAGTGGCTTAACTCGCTGCACCATGATGCCCACCCGAACCTGAATTTATTGATCTCCTTTAATAAAGTGAAAGCTTGAGAAGAATTATCAACTTCCTTTGCACCTTAGAGATCCCCCAGAGTTGTCCCTACTTGTAGCCCCACTGTGGCTCACCTGCTGACATAAAGCAGAATCCTAGATAAGCCATATCAGTAGTTCTTGAACACACTGGAGCGTGAGAAGCACCGATTTGGACGTTGCCGTTTCGACCACACGTGGCCCTGATCCTCCTCTCTGAGTTACAGAGATGAGGAGGCCAGATGTGCAGGGGCAGCTGTCAGGAGCCCTCAGCACCTGGCTCTGCTCAGGCTTAACCACGCCCGAGTCCTGCCTGCACAGGAAGCCACCACTAAAGACAGGCTGCCCATAGGAGGAGACGTTAGGATTTCTGCAGGCTGCTCGGCAGGGTGAAAAAGGGTGGCACAGGAAAGGGAGGAACGCCAGTTCCTGGCCTCCGGAAGCCGCAGTTTGTCTAGGTGCTGCTTGCCCTTATTTAGCTTTATCTGAGCTTTCCCTGAGACAAACCTCCGGTGACCTCTTTTCCGGTAGCATTTTGCCCCCATGGTAAAATGTTACCGTCTAAAATTTCTCCAAGAATTAGAAAGCTGACGTTGTCAAGGACCGAATGTGCCGCTTTTCAGTCGTTTCTGGCAGTTCCCTGCTTTATGGTGTAGTCATGGTGAAACCTGAGTCATCTGAAGACTGGGACGTTGCCAAGGTGGGCGGAAGGGTACAGAAAACTCGGGATGTGAAGAGCAGGCCGGCGCAACTGCTGGGCCACGGGCACCCATTCCGACGGGAGAGCCGCCTCACCCCTACTCGTGCTAAGACAAATTGCCGCAAGCTTTATGGTCCTAATGAATACTTCCTGTGGCAAATGTGTTTATAGAGACAGCTGCAAGGACACACGCATCTTCCCAGGCTTCTAAGCAGCAACACCTTACTTTTGCACGTGCCAGAGTTCTTTTATCCTTTTTTAAAGGTGAGAGACCCCGTAGCACTTTCTTGTGGGCAGGAAAGCAGTGTACCTCAATTTTTGCTTTAAGCAGAAGAAAAAAATTTTCCTCTGTCCCTACTCATATACATTGAACGACTACCCAGAAAACACGCCCGTTTGGTGTGTGTGTGTGTGTGTGTGTGTGTGTGTGTGTGTTTGCCATTTCTCTACAATTCTGACTCATAGTCTGGAGGACAATGACTGATTTTTTCCCACTTCACATAGCTGCTGTGAATCTCGGCTCCCAAGGGTGGGCCTGTTCGTGCACTCCGGGCCCGGTCGGTAGCGTGCTAAGCGTAAACAGCGCGAGGAGCCCAGCGGCCCGGGAAGCGGGCGCCCGCTCCTCTCTGCGGGAAGCAGGGTGCTGGGGACAGGTCGGGCGCTCAGAGACCGGGATCTACCCACCCCCGCCCCCCGGAACGTGATGCGCGTGGTGGGGGTGGAGCCGCCAAGTCTCGTCTCAATTTAGAGCTCTCCGCTTCTAGGCGCGCCCATTTCAGATTGCTAAACTCCACAGTCAGGAGGGAAAAAAAAAAAAAAAAAAAAATCTGGGAGGAGGTGGCTGGCCACACCCCGCGGTGCCCGAGAGTTTCCCCCGCAGAGGAAGGCCGCCCAGGCAGACGCCGGCGAGATGCGGAGCCCGCCGCTGCTGACCGCCGCCCACCTCCTCTGCCTGTGCTGCGCGGCAGTGGCCGCGGCCCCCCGGTAGGAGCGCGGGGCGGGCGCGCGCGGAGCGGGCGCGCCCTGAGCCCCGGCAGAGGGAGGCTGCGGGAGGCTGTGGAGGCCACACTGCAGCCCGCGCGCCGGCCGTCCCCAGCTGAGCACCGGCTGGAGGTTGGAGGCTCGGTGGCTGCGGTGTGGCTCTCCCTGGGACTGATAACTTTCTTCTCCCTTGGAGTTGGTCAAACGTCCCTCAGGCTTTCTGAGCCCTTTTACTTTTAGTCCATATTGCCTCTGCCTTTTGCTTCTTAACATTTTGTTCCCAGATAACCCGCTGCTTCTCTCCAATGCATGATACATATATTTTTCTAAAGAGGGCGTCTCGGCTTTGACATTGTCAGTGTGTGGCTGAGGTGACCAAGTGTGGGTTCAAATGCAGCTACTGGAGGAAGATAACTGACATGAGCGCCCAGATCATGGAAAGTGCTCCATCCCTAATGAGTTTTGCAGTTGAGTCCTAACCCTTAGCTTCGGCAGAGAATCTGCTGCTTGGAGGCCTGATCTGGTCTGCTACACCTGGGAGCTTCTCCACGGGCAGTTTATTTTCAGACGGTGTTGGTGTAATGATTGCTTTACCCACCTTGGGTGCGAGCTAGAGCAAAAGGCTTTGAAAAAGAAAACAGGCAGACATCCTATTTATTTATTTATTTATTTTTTTAGCTAGGATAAAGGCCTTTGCACAGAAGCTTAGAGTCTTGTGCTAGAACAGTAATTTCTGCAAGCTTCTGTTTAAGCCAGGTACACCGTGGCTGTTCCTGTGCTGGCTGGAGTTCACAAGATGGAATTAATAATGCAAGCCTGGGGCCATGGTGTAGCCTAGAAGTTAAGATATGGATTAAGATGCGGGTCACCTGGATTGGAGTACCTGGGCTTGACGCTTGGCTCTGGCTCCTGCAGACCCTGAGAGGTAGCAGTTGAGCTGCTGACACTCACATGAAAGACCCGGGTTGTGTTCCTGGCCTCCTGAAGCCCCAGCTTGTGGGCATTTTGGGGAGTGAGTAGCAAATGAGAGCTTTTTCTGTCTCTCAAATAAATAAAAATGAAATGAAACGTGACATAGGTCTTCCTTTAAGAGTGGTGCATGAATTATTGCATTAAAATTGATTTGTGGGGATTATTGTTGTTTCAGTAGCATTCAAATGCTGCTGCTAAATAGAGCAATGGAACAATATTAACTGTTGGCCCAGTATGCAGAGTCTATGTCACTATCTATGAAATTTGAGGATCACAAAAGAATGATTGGAGAAGTGAGGCTAAGAAACTTTGTTTCTCCCTGGTTGGGAATTCTTTAGGCCCCGGTTTCTGGTGACAGCCCCAGGGATCATCAGGCCCGGAGGAAATGTGACTATTGGAGTGGAGCTTCTGGAACACAGTCCCTCACAGGTCACTGTGAAGGCAGAGCTGTTCAAGATGGCATCAAACCTAAACGTGTCTGTCCTGGAAGCAGAAGGGGTCTTCGACAAAGGTAGGATGAACAGCACAGCTCCTTACCCTCCTGCAGTAATACTTGGACTGTGTTAACAGAACCACAGGTTAGGTAATTAGTGTAACAGAGTACCCCCAATTTGCAGTGGCTCCCAAAACACACCTTTAACTTCCATTGTGTAATTCCGTAATTCTCATTTATGTAAGTCCAAAATGGTGTTCCTGGGCACTCTTCCAAGTGGAAGCTCGGATAACTCAGGCTTTCTTTCATTTGTGGTTCCATCATCATCACCAACATGTGACTCCCAAGACTATGGAGGAAGAACATGGAGTTTCTCGTATGTGAGGTTTTTCTGGACCAGGCCTGGACAAGCTCCTATCACCACTGCTTGTATTCAAATGGCAAAAGAGGCTGGGAAATGTAGGCTGCATGTTTCCCACAAGGAAAAAGCTCATCTTTGACAAAACCATGTGGATTTGCCATGGAGGATTTTACTACATAGGCCTCTGGGAAGGAACAGAAAAGCCACACAGTAATTTTTAAAAATTATTTATTTATTTATTTTTTAGAAATAAATACTAATTTCATGGGTACAGCTTTAGGAATATAGTGGTTCTTACCCCCATTCCCGCCCTCCCACCCCAATCCTGTCCCAATTCCTACTCCCTCTCCCATTCCATTCTTCATTAAGATTCATTTTTAATTATCTTTATATACAGAAGACCAACTCTATACTAAATAAAGATTTCAACAGTTTGTACCCACACAGACACACAAAGTATAAAGTACTGTTGAAGACATGTTTTTTTTATTTTATTTTATTTTTTAATTTTTATTTTTTTGACAGGCAGAGTGGACAGTGAGAGAGAGAGACAGAGAGAAAGGTCTTCCTTTGCCGTTGGTTCACCCTCCAACGGCTGCTGCGGCCAGCGCACCGCACTGATCCGAAGCCAGGAGCCAGGTGCCTCTCCTGGTCTCCCATGGGGGTGCAGGGCCCAAGCACTTGGGCCATCCTCCACTGCACTCCCGGGCCACAGCAGAGAGCTGGCCTGGAAGAGGGGCAACCAGGACAGAATCTGGCGCCCCGACCGGGACTATAACCCAGTGTGCCAGCGCCGTAGGCGGAGGATTAGCCTAGTGAGCCGCGGCGCCGGCTGAAGACATGTTTTACCATTAATTCTCTCTCTCTCTTTTTTTTGACAGGCAGAGTGGATAGTGAGAGAGAGAGACAGAAAGGTCTTCCTTTTGCCGTTGGTTCACCCTCCAATGGCTGCCACGACTGGCGCGCTGCGGCCAGCGCACCACACTGATTCGATGGCAGGAGCCAGGTGCTTCTCCTGGTCTCCCATGGGGTGCAGGGCACAAGCACTTGGGCCATCCTCCACTGCCTTCCCGGGCCACAGCAGAGAGCTGGCCTGGAAGAGGGGCAACCGGGACAGAATCCGGCGCCCCGACCGGGACTAGAACCCGGTGTGCCGGCGCCGCAAGGCGGAGGATTAGCCTAGTGAGCCGCGGTGCCGGCCACCATAAATTCTCATAGTACAAGTCATTAAAGACAGAGGTCCTACATGGGAAGTAAGTGCACAGTGACTCCTGTTATTGGTTTAACAATTGACACTCTTATTTATGACATCAGTGATCACCTGAGGCTCTTGTCATGAGCTGCCAACCACACAATAATTAAATCTAGTTTTGTGGGGGTATATCTTAATGCTTAAAGTAATAAAAAAGGAAAAAGAAAAGTAGAGTGAAATGTGAGCAATTTGTGGAAGGACAAATCATTCTTACCTCCAGTCTGGCCCTGTATTAAGAATGTTTTATTTTTCAATACTAAGGAAAAAATAATTTTCTTTCTGGGGAGAAGGGAGTCACTACTTAAGCTTTCCTCCTTAAAATGAATATTTATTGTATTTTTTTCTAATCACGAGAGCAATAAATGCTCTGCACTTACAGCTTGATAAACACTGGAAGTAAAGGAAATAAACCAAAATCACTGGTAATCCTACCACCCAGATATAAACACTAGAAGAATGTAGCAGGTTGTCAAAGGCCAGAGATCAGGGCATGAATTTCTAAACAGTTTAGAGTTTTCTTTCAAAGAAATCATTGAAGGGCACATAATGAAGGGTGAATGGCATTCCTCATGAGCTCATTAAATAAATACTTGTCGTCTACCAGCACAGAGAAGTTGCCCATCATGAAAGGAGATGAAATGAAAGATTATGTCTACATTTGTGGCTCTTTCCCCACTGGAAGCTGACTGACCACCTGGGTAAATTTGGGGTGGGATTCAGGAAGAGAGGCTGTGTGTAATGGCCAGCCTGTACCACTTTATCTCCCATAGCAGCAGTGTCGGAAGTGGAGAGAAAGCATAGGTGTGATCTGGTTTGGGTCCTGGCACAACTGTCATACTCCTGTGATCTTGGACAGGTTACTTACTTGCTCTGATCATCAGTTTCCTCATTTGTAAAACAGAGATAATGAAACTAACTTTGAAGTGTAGTTATAAAGTTAACAACAGTATGTAGTACTCAATACATGACAACTGCTAATACTACTGGTAGTAATAATACTGAAGACAAGGTTGCAGACAGTACCACTTTCTGTACATGGGGGAAGATGTCAAATTTCACTAGTGAACTGTCATTTCTGAAAATGAATGAATCTTGGTCTTATGAGAGTAGCTAAAGAAAATATTGAACTACAAATCACAGGAGATAATAATTAAGGCAGTTTCATATTCATTATTTATTAAGAATTTATGAGTTTGACTCTACTGATATGGCAGTTTTACAGCAATGCAGAGGTCCTAGAATAACATAGATGATTCTGATGAGTATTTGGGCTCTGCTGGGCGTTTCTATGCTGTTATTTTAGAATTTCTCCCATGTTTTCTGCAGTCTCCTTTATTACTCTTTTTTTTTTTTTAAATATTTATTTGAAAGGCAGAGCAACAGATTGTGGGGGGAGAGAGAGAGATGGAAAAAGATAGAGAGATATTTTCTGTTTACCAGTTCACTCCCCAAACAGCCGCCACAGCTTGGGTTCAGCCAGTCCAGAGCCAGGAACCTGGAACTCTATCCTGGTCTCCCATGTGGGTGCAGGGCCCAAGCACTTGGGCCATCTTCCGCTGCTTTCCCAGGCACTGTAGCAGAGCTGGATTGGAAGCGGAGCAGCGGATAGGATGGTAGTATTGCAAGCGAGGGGCTTAACCCACTGCACTGCGATGCTGGCTCTCCTTTATCAGTCCAAAAATCACTGGGAGTGCATGTTGTTGTAGTTTGGTTTGTAACTTTATTCTTAGGTTTTTTCTTTTGGGAGGAGGGTCCGTGTTAGCCCTTTGGAAGACTTAAGTGCTCGAGGCTAGATTGGAAAACAGGAGCAGAAAGGCTGATGAAAAGGAAAGAGGGAAAATGGGCTGTTTTTGACTCTGTTGGCATCCAGTTTCATTGAAACTACCATGGCTAGGAGCACTTTCCCCTTTCCAGAGGAGAATGTTAGTCTGTTATCAGAGGCTGAGTTATTGTTCTCGGAGCAGATGCTTCCTGTAATCTTGGGGCTTAAGGAATAAGACGTTTCTCCCTCCTGGTCCTCACATCCTTTGCTTTGTCTGACTTCTCCAGTCTAACAATATGTAGGTAAATGAGGGCTTCTAAATCAGAGGGGTCTGGCTCTTCACAGGAGTCATGTTCTGTTTCTCCCATCACATAAACAAATGTATATATTTGATCTGATTATTTCATCGCTTTCTTACGAGGGCCCTGGAGACAAGGTTGGTTTTAATCAAGATTCATCTCCTGGCAGACTGGATAAGGAGGAAGGCAGTTTTAGAATGGCTCATTTCCAACAGTCCTAGACTTCAGAGAAATCCCTCGATAAGGGTGCATTTTACCATAGCCAGAATGTATTTCTGGCTTACTTTGTGTCAGAAATAGTAATAACTAAAGTATTCAAACTGCAGAATATACTTGAATAAAGGCAGACAAGTATAGTTTTTTTTTTCAGGGAATAGTTCATTTATGTGTTTGACAGATGTGGGGGGAATTTTATTTTCATTTCTACCCTTGAGGCCAGTAACATTGGTTGTATTAAGTTAATTTCGTTTTGGTGAACAGTAGCCCTTTAAAAAGTGTTTCTACTAAACTTGGAGGAAGTTCTGTGCAGATGTCTTCATGCCACTGTGGTGGTGAGATCCGGATGCTGAAGTGTACTTGTCATTGTCACCACTCCCCTGACTCCCCTCGCCCCTCGCCCCTCGCCCCTCAACATCTGCTGCAGCGTCACCATCTCTGCAGTGAAGAGAACTGGGTTCATGAGCTTGTCTTCCTTTGTCTAAGAGTTGATTAAGGCTACTGGCTTCAGATCAGCGCGGTGTGCTGGCCTCAGTTTGCCAGCCGCGGCGGCCATTGGAGGGTGAACCAACGGCAAAGGAAGACCTTTCTCTCTGTCTCTCTCTCTCACTGTCCACTCTGCCTGTCAAAAAAAAAAAAAAAAAAAAAAAAAAGAATTGATTAGATAAGTATAATTGACACAACATAGTAAGAGTTAAGTGAGTACAAATTACCAGAGAGGAGACAATGGAGCAGCTATTGGCATTTGTTAAAGATTTTTTTAAAAAAATTTTTGACAGGCAGAGTGGACAGTGAGAGAGAGACAGAGAGGGGTCTTCCTTTGCTGTTGGTTCACCCTCCAATGGCCGCTGCAGCTGGCATGCTGCAGCTGGCGCACCGCGCTGATCCGATGGCAGGAGCCAGGTGCTTCTCCTGGTCTCCCATGGGGTGCAGGGCCCAAGCACTTGGGCCATCCTCCACTGCACTCCCGGGCCACAGCAGAGAGCTGTCCTGGAAGAGGGGCAACTGGGACAGAATCCGGTGCCCTGACCGGGACTAGAACCCGATGTGCCGGCGCCGCAAGGCGGAGGATTAGCCTATTGAGCCACGGTGCCGGCTATTTGTTAAAGATTTTTATTTTATTTATTTGGAAGGCAGAGTTACAAAGGGAGAGAGGGAGCTGCTGGTTTACTCCCCAAATGGCTGTAA